GTTGGTGGGTTGACGTCTATGGGAAGATGTGTGTGTGTGCTGCTTCGATGTCCGGTGAATTCATTGAAGCCGGCCTATTCAGGAGTTCCTCGAAGTATTCTACCCATCTGTTACGCTGTTGTTGAATTTCAGTGATTGGCTTGCCTTCTTTGTCTTTGACCGGCCTCTCTGGTTTACTGTACATCAAAAAATCAGATTTTCAAAATATTAATGATGAAAAATAAAAAAACAAAAGTTATTACGGAAGGACCTAAAGCTTAAAATACCTACACAAAGTAGTCGTGTAAACTATTTTTGTATATACCTCTGTAGACTTGGATTGTGCATACTTAACACTTACATTACTTACTTACACCTGTTACCCCTCCTGGACGAGCATAGGTCGCCCACCAGCATTCTCCATCCAACCCTGTCCTGGCAATCGTTTCCGGTTGCTGTTCATCCCTTTGATATCTGCTTCCGATTCTCGACACACTGTGCTCTTCGGCCTTCCTCTTTTCCGTTTACCTTCAGGATTCTAAGTTAGCATTGTTGTGACTTGTGTCCTACTAATATATGACGTAATGATGCCGCCGATTAGATGCATTTACGAAGTGACCAGGAATATATAGTATACCCAATTGTACAGCATCAGAAACAGACCACAAATTGTCTACTTTGTTCAGGTGTTTTAGATTCCCAGAGATTTTAGTGACTGACAATTGCTCACAATTCGTTGCAGAATCAATCAAGTATTTTTGCAACATAAATGGAATAATACATATACGTTCTCCGCCCTATCATCTTCGATCGAATAGAAAAGCAGAACGTTTTGTCGACACTTTTAAACGAGCATCGCTGAAAAGGGAGGCGAGGGGACAACTAGACAGGTAATTACAAAATTTTTAATGGCCTACAGAACTACTCCGAACCCAACTGTTCCAGATGGTAATTCTTCTACTGAAGCCATGTTCGGAAGACGTATTCGAACTATTTTCAACGCTAGGTTGCCAACCAAAATAGTGGATAGGCACAGACCAAATCTTAATATCCGAAGTTTTAACGTTAGCGATCAAGTGTTCGTTAAGTCCTACCTCTGGAAGAATCTATGAGAATCCCAAAAAATCGTACAAAGATTGGGAAAAGTTTTGTACAAAGTTTGAGGAACGTTTCGCACATGTATCACACACACAAACCAAATCCTTAAAGACAAAAGAATGATGCATACTCGAGATAATCAGCTGAATCTTCCACTAAAGTTAATCTCAGAAACATTAACGACATATTCTCCCAAGAATACGGAGAAGAAGACTTGGACCATAGAGACAGCGAACAAAATGGAATGCCGTCGCAAACCAGTTGTCAGGCTACAAGTGGACCCAATGAATAAATTTTATTCCGAGGAGGTGTCTGGATGACTTCTGAGAACTACGATGGAGCCTTCAGTGGCCCTAAAGGAGCCGAAGAGTTTCCATCCAATCAGAATGTGGTGGAGCTTTCTAGAATGTCAACGTGGTATGCTACTATTGGAGAGTAGCATAACATGCCTCTTTGCTGAAGTATAATGTTGATATAACAAACGCTAATATCTATAAATACCCATAATTTTCCGTACGTTTTGATACTCACCCAACAAGCACTTCTCCAGTCTTCTATCTTCTCATTCGCGACCACGGGGGTTCTATACGTTCGAGTGCTGTAGTTGTATACTGTATTCTGCGTTAATCAAGTAGCGAGCTTAATAAGAACTTTCCAGGTGATTCAGTTAGTTGATTTCTGTAATGTATGTCCTATCCACCTCTATCATCTTTTCCTAATTTCTTCTTCAGCTGTAAGCGGGTTTTTTCCCTCCCATAGTACGCTGTTGCTGTTGGTATCCAGCCAATGGACATTGAGTATTTTGCGTAGACAGTTCTTTAGAAATGCTTGTACTCATTTGATGATGATGGTTGTAGTAGCAGTTCTCCAAGTTTCAGCTCCCTACAGTTAAACTGTTTTGACGTTCATATTGAAAATTCTAACTTTGATATTGGTTGAGAGTTGTTTTGAGTTCCATACGTTCTTCAACTGCAAGAATACTGCTATTGTTTTGCTAATCCTTACCTTTACGTCTGCATCGGATCCTTCTTGTTCATCGATGATACTGCCCAGGTACGTGAAAGTTTTCACCTCTTCCAGGGCTTCCTCATCAATTGCGATAGGGTTGGTTGGTGTTTTCTGTACTATATTTAAGGATCGTGCTTTTCCCTTGTGTTTGTTGAGGCCTACTGATGCAGAGGCTTCCGACACACCGGTTGTCTTCACCTGCATTTGTTGGTGTGCATGAGTAGAAGGCCCAGGTCATCTGAAGAATCCAGATTGTCTAGTTTCATGCAAGCTGTCCATTGTATTCCGTGCTTCCTGTCAGGTGTGGAGTTCTCCATAATCCAGTCAACCACTAGAAGGGAGATAAAAGGTGAGGGCGAGCAGCCTTGTTTTATACTGGTCTTCACTTACAATGCGTCTGTCAGCTGTCCTCAATGCCCGACTTTGCAGTGTAGCCCGTAGTATGAATTCTGGATGATGTTGATGATTTTCACACCATAGTGTCGAAGAAGTTTTCATAATGTTCTCCCATCCATACTCTCAAACCCCTTCTCATAGTCAGTGAAGTTGATGCATAGTGATGAGTTCCACTCAACTGGTTGTTCAAAAATGATCCGTAGTGTCACGATTTGGTCTGTGCACGATCGATCTTTACGGAATCTGGTCTTTTGATTTCGAAGCTATGTGCATACTGAATCTTTCATCTGATTCAGCAACACTGTTGAATGCCTTTCCTGGTACCGATAGTAGTGTGATGCCTCTGTAGTTCTCACATTTGCTCAGATCTCCTTTTTTGGTGTCTTGATTAGGTGTCCTTCTTTCCAGTCCGTCGGCACTTGTTCTTTTTTCCAAATCTTCCTGAATAGAGTGTGAAGCATACTTGCAGTTACTTCTATACCTGACTTCAGAGCTTCAGCTGATATATTGTCAGGTCTATCTGCATTCCCACTCTTGGTTTGTCTGATTTCTTCTATCGTTGGTGGAATGATATTTATAGGAAGGTACGTGTGCTGCTTCGATGCCGTTGGATTCAGTGGAGCTGGCCTATTCAATATTTCCCCAAAGGGTTCTACCCATATGGTGCTCTGTTCTTGAATGTCAGTGATTGGCTTGTCTTATTTGTCCCTGACCTATCTCTTTAGTTTGCCATATTTCCTTGTCAGTTTCTCCGCTGTGTCATGTAGTTTTTTCTCATATTTCCATCTGTTTCAGCTTTTTTTCACTGTCGTTGATAGCTCTTCCGCGTATTTCCGTTTATCATTTAATGCTCCTATTTATTTGCTTGTATGCTTCTGTGTATCCAGGTTGTACCCTGACTTTCTCTGCTCTTGTTCGACTTTTGTTAATTGCTATCTTGTTCTTCCTTTCGTGAATGCTGTCTAGGGTTTCCATAAGGTTCCATTTTTTATGATGATGATCCTTCTTGAGTCCCAGAATTTCCTGACACGTTGAAGTTAGTGCTTTTTGATGCGTTTTCATTTGTTCTCCATAGTAGATTCACTTTCCTTGAGTAGATTTTGTAAGGCTTGGAACCTGTTGTTGAGAGCTACCTTGAATTCCTTAAGTTTGTCAGTATCTTGAAGGAATTCTTAAGTGAACCTTTGTAATGCTGTTTCTCCAGTTGCCCAGTGCTTTTTTAGCTCCAGTTTCATTCTGGCAGCCTACAGGTGGTGATTTGAAGCCGTCAGCTCCTCTCCTGGTTTATTACATCCTCCACTTACCTTGTGAATATTTTGCTGATGCGAATATGGTAGACCTGGTTTTCTGTTGTGTGGTCCGTTGAGACCCATTTAGCTTTGTGTATTCTTTTTTGTGAGAATATTGCACCACCTATAACCATTTTTTTGAATACACATTAATTTGTAAACCCGTCACCGTTCTCGTTCCTTTCACCCAGTCAGTCGATGTCGTCCCATGATATCTTCATACTCGGTGTTATCTATTTCAACTGGCGTTTAAGTCTCCCATCAGGATGTTCAGGTCATTTCCTGAACACTTCACTATGACTGATTTCAGCCTCTCGTAAAACTAGGCTTTATCATCGTTGTCGCTATCATTTATGGGTGCATAACACTGTGTAGCATTGATTGTGATTCCCTGCCTATTTTTGAATGATGATTTGATGATCCTGGATTCATGAAATCCCCATCCTATAAGTGCTGTACGTACTTCCTTGGACAGCATCAGGTCAACTCCATGAGTGTGCGAAGCATTTTGTTCCTCATGAACAGAGTACAACAGTGTCTTTCCCGAATCTATCCTTTGCTGTCCAGATTGGGTCCAATGGGTTTCACCGATTCCGAGCATCGACAAGTTGTATCTCCTCATTTCCGTTGCTATTTGGTCGGTCCTCCTGCTCTCCCACACTGTCCGGACATTCCATGTACCTATAAATCTTGTTACTCTGGTTGTTATAGGGGGAATCGATCTCGTGACTTTCGAAGAATCTTGGTTTTCATCATTAGGCGTCTTAAATCTTCTGAATGAAGATCTTTCAACTCTGAAGGCAGAGTTTAAATGGCGTAATTTGGTTCTTCTGTTTAGCGTTTTTTAGCACGATTGTTTTCTGTGGGATGAAGTTGCTGACCCCATGTCCAACACTCCTCTTTCAACTGGGTTTAAAACTGGAAGTAGTTCTAGAAGAGCTAAAGGAGGAGTTAGATTTAGTTTATATTCAAATATTAATCTCAGCGTACCGTATTTTAAGGTTTGTGAGAAGTTGATTGTTATTTTGTTCAGAAAAATGACCCACATTTTTTGTCTCATGCCTCACGTGAGGAACTATATTTATTTTAGAACTTACGTTTGAGTTCACACGCGGTTTCCACCTACATATTACAAATATACGTTTATTCTAATCATCCAATGTTTCTATCCTGACAATGTTTTAAATATTCAATATTTTGGCCAAATATCTTCTTTACTTGTAATTTCAGATCAAACTTTAGGTTCATGTTTGAGAGCTATTAGTACGATGCATTACAATTCAAATATTCAGGCTTGTATCACTGGTAGTTGGGATTGTACTGTACGTATATGGGACCCACGTGCTTCTGTAGCATCATCCAATGCAACTGATTCAAAAGGTGGAGCACAAAGTGTTCATCGTCAACCTAGTACAGTGTATACGATGGATAGTATACGCAACCAACTGGTTGTAGGTACAGCTGGACGTCATGTACTAATATGGGATCTCCGTCAAATGCATGCACCTTTAGAACAGCGTGAATCAAGTCTCAGATACCAAACTCGATGTATCCAATGTTTTCCAAATGGACAGGGTTATATATTAGGTTCAATTGAAGGTAATGATATGTTAATCGACACTATCTTATTATGATTATTGTTACTATTTTTTGTCTTTCCATCGAAAGGATGTAATTATAAATGATATTGGAGAAAATCATTGTTTGTTTCACTTTTTTCTCAATGGTTTCACAGTGTTGTGATCACATATATGAACACATAAACCACATTATAAAGGAATCGCAGTTCACTAGGAATGTTCTGTCGAGCATTGAGGTTTATTACTCAACATGACTCACCGAAATACAATTCTAACCATTGTTTTGTTTAAAATTTGTTTCCTTAATTTTAAATTCAGATTCCTCAAACGAATAATATATATATAGATTAATGTGTTTTGTAGGAATAAGTGGCATACATACTTACTGTTGTTTGTGGTTATTAAATGAATTCAACACCTGATGAAGTAGTTCTGCTACTTTGTGATTTATATTTGCCCATAGCTTTAATATACGATGTATTTTATATACGTGTATTCATAATTCAGCTTGTGTACTATCATTTTATTATTTGTTTGTGTATTTAAAAGTATGTTTCACGTAAGTGTATCCTAGAAACCTCTGGTATTCACGTCCCACTTCACCATCGTCGTCACCACACTAATGACCGAAATCGAAGCGAATATGACCAGCTAATTCTCGATTGACAGTTGTTTATCTGTTTGCGCGTTACAAATTTCATTCCAAATAATGAGAAGCTAGCGATCTCAGCGTTATTTTATTATCTGTTCCTATATTATCCAGTGGATTGTAGCTCGGTTTTGATGAACATTAACTTCTAAAGCCAACTGAGTAATTTTCGATTTTTGCAGCCTTGCTAAATTTCTCCGATACGTTGTTGAAAATGGTTTTCTGTACACTACTACACTAACGAACTGTACTATACTCCAGATGCTGGTGGTGTGAATATTTACATAACTCCCACACTTTTCCAAGTGCCTATCTAGATCTCAATGGCGAAATGTTATGTAGTTATTGTCAGACACATTGCCGTCCTAAGCGGAAGTAATCTAGCTTTACCGAAACACCGAACGGAACAAACTTCTAAACTAACTGCTAACTCACTGGAAAGAGTAGATAACTGAAGTATTAAGGAAACTCACTTGTAGATTCTGAGGACATCCTATGTTTCTATGGGTTTCTTTTAATTACTAAATATCCATAAATTGTTTCCCAGCTAAATGAGAACAGATTAGCATAAAAGTACTTGGAGATAAGACTGTCAAATTATAAAACTGATACAAGTTTCATCGAAATTTTTTAAATACTTTTATCCTACACAAACTGAAAAACGCTTAAAAAACGACGTGCTAGGAGTACACTGATTTGTCACGGTTTTTTTCACGTATCTAACTGAAATAATAAATCGAAACTATTTTACCTGGGTATTCTTAGTTGAATACTTAATGTTTATGTAATTAAAGCAAGTTATAAAGATCTCGAGAGCTGAATTTAATGCAGTGAAACATTATCTCCCATTTTATAAAAAAGAATTTTGTTTACTAGTTGAAATCTACTTACTAGGCAATGGACACTGGTTTTTTTTATTTTTAGGTCGGATAGCTGTCGAAATGTTTGATCCTAGCCCGGAGGTTCAAAAGAAAAAGTATGCTTTTAAATGCCATCGTGTTAAAGAAGGCGATAAAGAAACGATTTATCCAGTAATTGCCATTGCCTTTCATCAAGGATACAATACGTTTGCTACAGGTATTTGTCTTTCATCAATTCATTTTTTTATGATACTTCGTTGATACCTTGCTTTTGGAGTAATTCGTTTATAAAATGATGAATCGCAAGCTACTTATGAAATCAGATACTTATAACATCACTTTGTATATTCATTTTCAGGACATTTCGTTTTAAAACTAATTGAATCTCCCATTATTTTATTGCTTTTGCAAATATTCGAAAAGTATTTTGTAGGATTCTTTGAAATGACTATTCAAGTTGGAATGTCTTTCGGGATTTATACACTAGCGATCACCCATCGATAAATATTTTTAAATCACACTGTCATTGGCGATGTATTGATTCCTTTATATGGATTCAAGTAGATTATGTTCTAAACCTTTCTGTATTTCTTATGAAGCGTAATTAAAATATAGTACTTATATTAGGATCAGACTAATTTGATCATAATCTTCAACTATTTTGTTTTCTCGATGCACCACACACATTAATCTGACAAGGAATATAATATTTCATCATTTCTGTTTACCTAAAATTGATAGCATATATTTTCAACAAACAGATAACTTTATTTAAACCATCATTGTTACCCTATTAATCAAATGAATTATACAAATAGATAGGACTTATTCAATCTACTGTTTGTCGTCCTAACTTTTATCGGCTAATCGTCAAAACAACAGACGAGCAAAAACTTGCAACTAAGCCATAAAATCCATTGTTTTTTTTAATTTAACTCAGTTATTTCAAAGTAATTTGAAGAAATTTTTTGGTAGATACTTTCTTTTACTCTGAATCTTTTTTACAGTTGGTAAGATCACAGACTTTTTTCAGGTATCTATGAGGTCATTAGTGGATGCTTTGTATTTTAGTTATATGAGACTACTTCACAGACTGTTGAGTTTTATACAAAAGACTGATTATTTCAATGCGTTGTGGTGCGATATAATACCATTCGGAGTACTACTACTTTTGAAAAGGTTAATAAGCACACATAAATAGTTGAACTACCAAATTTTACAAATAGAACAAAATCAGTGTCTAATGTCACGTGATTTGCCAAACATTAGTTTTTTGATAATAATTATTCTCATGCTACTCACACTTAACCTTGTCTTTCCATACCAGTGTTTATTACTCTGTTTTGTAATTAAAAGAATATTTTATTATGGTAAGCTAAAAGGGTGTTATTTTTGTTATTATTTGTAGATGTAAAGTCTGTAGGTTCATTGTTGTTTCAGATATCTCTTACATACAACTTATTTCATTATGTAGATAACTTGAAAAAAAATAATTGACTCAATTAAGGGTGTTAACCATTAGTATTTTCAATGGTTATATATATATTAAAGAATAAGTGTTACCATGGTGATAATTCTTATTCTGAGGAGAATGGCCTGTCATATTAAGGAATAAGCTAGCCTTTTTACAGGATTTGTTAATTGTTGCAATAAATTTAGATATTGTATCGCCAAAGTAAGACAAAATATCATCATTCGGATAGATAATATATTTATTGATCAGAATCATCTTGCTAATGTGTTAACAAGATAACTTTTCTGAAATTTGTGCCAATAAAACAAAATGTATAAATAACTACCTTTTTACATGTTAATTCTTTAAACAGTTGAGGTTAATTAGTATTTCACGATGATAGTACCAACTGAGTTATTGTTATTACACCCAAACAGACATAGATCAGAAATAATTCTAACCGACTTGTTACATACCAGATAATTTATAACTTAGCTGGGTTGCCAAAAATGAACCAGGATTATTCACTTAGTCCCTATATATAGACTATCACTTCAGTACTAACACCTGTACCGCTAAACAAACTTTCAACTGTTTTTGGCAGCTTACTACAAAGGTCGAATGTTCAGAATATATCCTGTACTTACAAACGCCATTTATTTCAATACGAGTTAGGTCGACTGTATATGGTTGAACAGCGCAACATTGTCATCTCCGTCGTAATATTCTATCATTACAGCTAATTTTAATTAAGAATAGTGTAAACGTTTTTCTGCAGTGATAGTTTTATATTGGGTGTTTTAAAATTGTCATACAGAGGATTTTATAGTGTCGATTATTTTAAAAATCTCTTTGCAATTACTCAAATTCATTGAAATGTTCTTTCTATTATTTCTTCGCGTTGTTATACAGCATCCTTTGTTCTTCTTATAAGTTGTTTAGAACTATCACCAAAACATTGCTTGCTCATGCCATAATCAGCAGCGATAACGTTTAGAGTATTTGGTAAATTTAGTTCGTGAGCTTGCTGACCTCTGTGACTCATATGGATTCACGCCACTACGGTGACGTGCAATGATAGCTAGCAAAGATATGGTTTTAGAAAAAAAAAGACTAAGGGCTGACAAACAAATACATGACGATAGTCTATTAGGTAACTGACTTTATGTCAGCAAGTAAAATAATCCTCATCTATATTTCGAGATGTCACGTCACATAGCTCAAAATCTCTTTATAGTTATTTTAATTGTAATTGTTGAATTTCATTTGTGCTTTTCAAACTATATTCAATATTGTCATAATTTTCTTTATTATCATTTTAACTCCTCTAGTTTTTATCTTGTGAATTTCTTCATACTCTTCTAATATGATTTAATCACTTAGATTGATTTACATTTGTTTCAATTCCTATATTCATTGTTTAAAAAAGAATAAAGAAAATTATGTATTAATAGTTAGTTATGAAGTATTTTAACAAGTTTTTACTATTGATTTCCGAAAATCTAATAATTGAATTCTTTGTTTCACTGTTCATTGTTTTTCATCATCTAGTTACTCAATGTTGACTGAACTGTGTACATATAGTTTAATTATTTCTATTATTATTATTATTGTTGATATTTCATTTATGTACATGTGTAACAATTCCATTTACATTTCATTGGAATAATGCTTTTAAACGAATAAATAAATATTTAAATAATCTTTAAAACCTTTAACGGTTGTTTTTTTTTGAAAAAAAAAGGAAAAGATTAGAATTTCGATGTATAAACAAATTTTTATAATCATTTGTACAAATGTGTATATATGAGTTGTACATGTAAAATCTTATTCTTTCTTTTTTCTTTTATACAAATATTAGGTGGTTGTGATGGTATTGTAAATATATGGGATGGATTTAATCGTAAAAGACTAGCTCAATTATCAAAGTATCCAACTAGTATATCTAGTTTAGCATTTTCTGAAGATGGTAATTTACTAGCTATTGCTTCTTCATACATGTATGAACGTGGTCCAATTGAAAATGAACCAGAACCAACTATTTACATAAGAAGTGTTGCTGAAAATGAAGTCAAACCTAAACATATCAGTAATACTAATAATGTTAGTGCTACTGGTGGCGGAGGTGGTACTGCTGGAGCCAATGTTGGTTATAAAGGTTAAAGATAAAATCAGAAGCAATTATGAATTTAATATTTGTTTTTCCATAATCCTGTAAAATAAACATTTCCATATCAAATCATTTTGTTAAATATTTAAAAAATACATATATGTATCTGTCACGTCTCATTTTTGTGTAACTCTTATAAATATCATTTTCTGGAGATTGAATTTGTATATCAATATTAAACTATTTCGTTATATCACATATAAGCGGACAGCATATCACTTTAACAGCAGTTTATCAAACTTAATTTAGTAAGTCTTCCAAATAAGATGAAACGCGCGTCCTGAATTCCACTGCTAGGCACTATCCATCTTTGCATATAATGCTTGCGAATTAAGGTTATATCGAGGCAGTATGCATATGTGCCAATAAGAGACTGATCAATTGCAGTTCTAACCGTCAACCGGAAGATTCAAACAAACAATACCAAGTGAATTTAGTCTTCCAAATTGTTTGGAGCAGTGGTTTATTACTTAAGGCGTTTGACTTTCAGTCACTAATTTTAAGGTAAAAAAACAACCCGCTCCACCTATTTCGACGTAGGTAACCAAGAAGAATCATTAGTCTTTACACGTAGAGTGTAGCTCATATCGAAGTACATGGTGAATGTCTCAATTTTTTATTGTTTATAAATTAGTTAGGTTATAAAAGTAATTTGACTGACAATAACAATTGATTTGGTAGTATAACATGAATTTATTATATTTCTCGTCATCTGCTTACAGCCTAAACATAGTATGAATCATTAAAAATCAGTATACATACTTTATATCATAGCATTGGAAGCGTTTTCATCACTAAAGATTATTGAGAAGAGCAATAGGTATGGAAGAACGATAAGAGATGTTCATATGTTAATTAATAGACTGAATACAAGAATATTCTTGAGTAAACAACTAAAAACAGAATTACTTAGAAATAATATATATAAACATATCACCCTAGCGCTTCCGACGCTATGATCTAAAGTATGTACATTGATTTTTAGTAATTCATGCCGATATGTTTATGTTGTAAGTATATGACGAGACATCACAAAACATGATAAATTCATGTTGTTCTTGGTTAAGTTGAATTTATAAGTGGAAAAAAATTGTTCGAGATAAATTGGTTATTGAATAAACTACTAACAGAACCTAAATACTGACAACTCAATGAAGACTACTATTTTCCGAAATGGTCATTACAAATATTACATTAGGTGTTTATTCAATACTCCATCTTAGGATTTTTCATATTTTATGCCACTTTTGCTCCAATATTAGGTTGGTTACAGTTTGCTTATTCTACGAGTTGAAATCAATGACGATTTTACTGGAATTTTGATTTTAGCGATGGGACATATCACGCACTAATAGTTTTAAGTGTAGTGAGACATTATAAATATTATCCTATTGTTTCCAATGACTTTCAGTTGCACTTATCGTTTTATTGCATGTGTGAGTTAACTAATTAGATTTATTACTTTCAAGATTTAGATTATTGATTCAGTTGTATCATAAGTAATTAAAAGTAGTGTTTGTTAACTATTACTAGAGGTCATATCAGTTCTTCACTTTTTAAAACTGTTATGTGATGAATAATATTTCTGAAGTTAGCCGTAATGAGACAGCGGAGATATATTTATTGACCGAGTAAGGATCATTTCTTAATAAATGGAGTGGTTTTGTAACCAACCTTGAAATGAACCAGTAGTTGTAAAGGTAGCTCACATACGACTATGCACTAAGTTCAATTTGCATAAATGTTCAGGAATTTAATTTAATTTCTTTTAGCATGTGAAAATCTTATTATTATGCGGAATTAGTCCATAGTGTTAAGCACATGAAAGTCCACTATCCTTTATTGTAGAAAACTAAGCGGACACTTATTGTTTATTGAACAGTGAATTATATACTAACAAAATAATGAAATAAATTGTGATACATCATACGTAGATTATTAACGAGTACTTGACAGGTCTTGCTAGTTGAACGCTATATTCGGTTCCTAAGCTATTCTTGTAAACCCCAAGCTAGAACAACACAGCGACCTGAACACGAGAGAAGAGGCGCAAGGTATACGAGAAGCACTTTGCTCTGAAGGTTCGTTTTTGTACAGAACATATAGAGTTTTTATAGTATTTTAGGTGTCCTTGGGTTTCCCGAAGATTCTGGATTGCTACTAAACATAGTAGAAGTATAGTAATCAGCCAATCAGAAACTCTACATGTGACATCACTTTCTTGATGTTTCTGGCTAAACCTCAAGTGAACGCCGATTGGACAAAATGCTTCTTAGTGTTTTCCTGATCTTTTCTTATCTTTTGCGAGAAGTCTTCTGGATCACCCAAACAGTACTAAATCATAAAACTAATATCTAAGATAGAGTGCTTGCTTGCTGCTTCGTGGAGTACAACCACATCGGTCGGAGATGAAATATATAAAGCTTCGAATACTGTAATCTAAAGTTGCTCAGACAGTATATTTTTAGTAGTCAAGTTTCGATACTCCGTTTATTTATATAGACGAGCCTGTTATTTCCTATTGTGTAGAGCTTGTATGTATAATAATATTTGATTACAAAATCTTGATAATAATGGAAGTGCTGTTTCTGATAGTAACCCGATATGTATCAGTTATCCTAGAATAACACCTTAAAAGTCATCTAAAATGTTATACAACTTACAGATTAATATTCATGTGAGCTCTCATTGCCTTTTTATACTCAGTTTTCTTCTATCATATTTGTAGTCATTAAAAACAAATTAGTGTTCATTAACAGAGACACAATTGTTCTATGAAATTAACATTTCAATCAAAATCTCATGGATAAGATCAGGTTAGACTTTCACAAATAACTTATGTATTTCCTTAAGTTCAGAATCCGTATCTACGTTTTAAAGGTAATAAAATCAGATTCACCAACTAAATATATAAGTGGCTTTTACTAACTATTTGGATTGTGTTTTATCTCAATCCAGTGATCAGTTCTTTGCTCGATCTATTCAAACTTCAATAACTTAATGGTAAATCTCATCTAATGACGATTAATGATAAAAAGTTAAGAAGTATAATTTTCTTCCATAATTTAGTTAAATATAATTGATGTTTAGTAAGTAGTATGATACCCTTCCAATAGTTTATTGTTTCAAAACATACATTAAATTTCCCATGAATTATTTTACAAAACAATGTTCTTTGATCGGTATCATTACCAAGGTTTGACTAGATAATTTCAAATAAATTGAGCATTGGATAGATTGTTATAAATAAATTAATGCATTGCAATATCCATATGAGTAGAAAAATTAGATTTTCTGCCGTTTCGTGACTTAGTGTAAGCCACTTCTTCAGAGAATAAATAATCCAAGTTTAAATAATACAACAGAACAACACAAGAATATTATGTGATCAATCAAAAAACAGGTCTGAATACATCAACGACATGTCATTTCGGTCAAGGTGATTGGCAAGCGACATGTTTGTAAATCTGTGTGTATGTGTGTACTGTTTAAGGATGAAAAATTGTGTGACCTTCGTGATGAGGAAGAATAGAGTTTAATTTGTACGGTGATAGTGTGAATTGTAAATAAGATCAGACTAGGTGGCTAGGATAGATAGTCTAAGTAGGATGTATGGTAAGGCCTTCTTTTCTATTGAGAACAGTAGGATTAAGCATTATATGGAACGCTTCAGCTACTCTCCTTTCTTTGTAATTGAAAAGCCTTTTTGTAATATTTTGATATTTTTGAAATTAATTTCATGGTCTTTGAAATCTCATGAACTGCTATTGCCGATTTAATTTGAAGTTTATCCAGTTCTACGGGATTGTTAGGAGGTTTCTTTGTCTACCTAATATGTTCTTTGGCTCTAGTAAAGATTTCGCAAGATGACTCTCCCATATAGAAAGCGTCACGATCGATACAACCTAATTTGTAGATGCAGTTCTGTGTTGACATGAATAGAATTTTTTCTTGATTCGGTTATTTATTCTCTGAAGAAGTGGCTTACACTAAGTCACGAAACATCAGAAAATCTAACTTTTCTATTCACTGGGATACTACAAATACATTAATTTACTTAATATTCTTTAATTTTTCTGGTTCATTTAAATTTTATCAAAACAAATAGATTATTACTTTGTAAGTTTTATAAAATAATTATGTGTTTTTAAATCACCTGATAAATTCATTAGTTAATATAAATTAAAACATTATAAATGTACTTTTATTTTTTATAATAATTGACCTATGAACAAAAATATTTTATAATTCATTCTCTAATAAACCTTATTAGTGTGTATGAAAATGTAAAACGATTTTTTGTTTTGTTTTAACTATCTTATTCTGTTAATACTTCCTGTGTAAATAAAACTATCGAAATGAATAGATTATATACTGTTGATTCTACTTTTTTAGTCAAAAATATGAAAAAATGTTGACAAGTATTGCTTTCTTTAAGGATGTTATTCACGAATTGTATGATTATTCATACAAAACATTACATTTTACTACCATAGAATTATTATAAATAAAATTTAGATTTGAATAAATTTTAATTAATTATAGTGGTCTAGTGGTTAAGCGCTCGCACGCGAGATTGATAGGTCCTGGGTTCGAATCCCGCGGGGGACGGGATCATAGATGCGCACTACTGAGGAGACCCATACTAGGACGAAACGACCGTCCAGTGCTTCCATGTTTTCCATGGTGGTCTGGTTTCAATTGACTCATGATTTCAACTATTGAAATTACTAATATTCGCACAAAACCCCTTCTGATAGATACAATAACATTCCTATGTAAACAGTAATAGTATCCCAAATGATTTTAGTTTGCTACGAATACTATCTATAAGAAATTATATCATGAAGTAGTATTAGATTGCTAAGTTTTGAACACTATTTGTGAACTATAATTTCGGTAATATATACTAGAAGACTGATTATTACACTATTTGGGAGGCCACATCTACTTCTTTTAGGCTCTAAGTAATTTCCAGTGTCAATCGATCAGT